ACTCAGAGAGATTAATTTTAAACCCAGCACTTATTTCTACAGTGGAACAACCCAAATCTGTGGTCCAACCACTCTCCCTGCTTGGGTACATGTATGATTTAGATCCAGATCCAAACCCTGAGCCCTGGCTAGGCCCATCCTATATAGCAAGAAGATTGAAAATGTTTGGTTTAAGTTCTCCATTGCTCTTACCCACAGAGCACCACCCAACAGGAAATCCATGGAAGCCCCTGGTCAGCTCTTACATGTTTCTGAGTGTGTGGACAGTGATGGGGTGGTGGGATAGAGAACAGGGCAGCATTTGGGGGGGCAACAGCCAAGGTCTGCACACCCAGACAGAGACTGCCAAGGGGGAGCAAACATAAAGAGGAGTCAGGAAGGGAGGCTGGATTACCTTCCCCTTGCCACCTCAATCAGCCGTGGCACTGTGGGCTCTCAGCCCTGCATCCTGGTGGGGATTGAAACCTTCTGTCCCCTGTCTTCTGCAGCCATCAACACACCAGTGTCTCAGCACTTTCTCACTAAGCCACCTGCTCATAACAAAAAATTGATGTGGTTTTCTGCTTTTTCCTCTTCCTCTGCATGAACCAACCCAGAATACTCAGTTATAGGCCCATAAGAAAGCCACCATTCATCCCATTTGCTGAAGACAGCCTACTTGGGGGCTGCTTTTGGGACTGTAAATGCATGCAGTCTCCCACCCCGATGTGGGGAGAATTACAGCTTGAAAACCAAGGCGGGAGGGTTTTTTTCTTGCTTAACTACCCTAAAAAGTGACATAAAACTTTCCTGCTAACATACATATATGAAGTTTTATGTTTGATTTGTATTAGTATAACTGTGGCACTGTGTGTAGATGAAGATAGAAGTTAGTAAAGTCAGGAGTGAAAGGAGAGGAAGAGAGCGGGAGCTCTCTCACCTACAGCATAAAGGTGCCTCAGTCAAGTGTGTGCCTGAAGAGCAACTTCTGGGTTTTTTTTCCTTCTTTCTTTTGCAATCATTGCTCGCTTGACAGGCCCAGACGGAATTACATCACTTCCTAAAACCCATCAAAGAGAGTCCATCTCCTGAAGAAATGCAGCTCAGATGCTCCCCGGCAGGAAGCAGGAAATGTAGATGTTCGGGTGCAGCAGGGCGGCTGCCGGAGCGCCCCTCAGGTGGGAGCGCGGCCGGGGCAGCATGCGGAGCGCCGGGCTCATCTCGCTGCTCTCCGCCCTGGCGCTGGCTGCGGGACCTGCCGGCACTGGTGAGTAGGAAAGCGCCTTTCGCCTGCCGAGATGGGACCGCGTGTCTCGCCCGCAGCGATGGGACCAAGTTGGAGGGCAACACCCTCCAAACTCAGCACGGGCAGGAGATCTGTGGGGACTTGCTCTCTGCTGCTCTTTGCTAGGTTTACCCTCTCTGTTTTCAGTTGCCTCTTTTTTCAAAGCTTTGACTCTTTTTCCCTTAGACCTATTCCCGAACAGCAGCAAACAAATTCTACAATTGCAAACTTTTCCTAAATTGCAGGTGTGTAGAGAAGCGGAGTTTCCAAGTTGACCCATCAGGCATTTTGCTCCTAATTTTAGTTATGTTTTGAACTTTTTAAAACCCCACACCCATGCCATCAATGTTTATTAGCACAGTTAAAGGCAAAGCACTGCTTCCATTCAAAAGTGATTGCCGATTTCCGCAGTCCCGGTGCACTGAAAATGGTTTAACAAAGGAACAGCCGGTTCCGGAGACAAATATTTTGAACTCTCAGCTGCAGAACAAAGTGACTGGCACCATGGACTTAGGTTCTGACCCTCTAAGAAAAGAACTATGAGTGGAAAAGCAGCTTGTGATAAAATACTGAGCACTGGGGGTGTTATTGCAGAGACCCTCGCCTGTTTGCAGGGGTCATTGGTTCCACTGGCATTTTGGCAGACAGTGATTGAACATGACAGGCAGCTCTTGGACTGAAACCTTGCTGAGGTAGTGCTTGTAAGCCTTTTGGGGTCAAACAAATCCCTGCCTAAGCACCTTGGTATGGACTAGAAATGTGTGCTGCTGTAGCAAGTGGGAGCTCTACAGAAAGCAGGCAAAGAAGACAGTCACTCTCAGATATCACTGGACTTCTCTTAATGTCCTAAAATGCACGGCTGGAATTGGTGTTTTGGTGTGAGTGCTTTTTCCCTGAAAAACTGTACTGTAAGCAGGGTGTAGAGCTGGGCTCCAGGCTCCCGGCGTGCTGCTGAGCTGCTTACACTTAGGAGACTTGCTTAACTGTACGAGCGAGCTAAGTGAGGTATAAAATGGTTAGGGTTTGGCTGTGTTACTACAGCTCTGCTGCACTGCAGACACGTTAGGAGAATATGCTGCAAGTATTGAGTGTAGCTCAGAATCAAAGCGGTCAGAGGAACAAAAATCCTTCCATGGGCAGAGTGAAACAGAGGTCCCAGGGAAATGGAGGAGTACAATGAAGGCAATGCAGAGTGATCAGGCTCCTGCTTCTCTAGCTCATGAGAATACTACTACATCATCATGTCCCCATGGAGGAGGACACATTAGCCCGGAGCCCCTCAGCTCATGACTGGATGTGCCCCTGCCCTTCTGTGCAATGGGTATTTGGGGCTGCAGGAAGTGCCAGGCAGATGTCACATATCAGCTGTGTGACACTCCTTACACTCCCCACTTCCTACCAGTAGGTCCACCTTTAAATTCTGGTTGATTTTGAAATGGTTCCTCTTTGGGAGTGAGTCAGCCCTGCCAGAGCCCTTCCCAAGCCCTGTCAGCTCTGACTCTACAGAGCCAGTCCACAGTCACTGGGGAAGGGGAGGAGAGCACCCACCTTTGCTCCACATACAAAGGCAGCTTTTGCATATGCAACCAGCCCCAAAATGTACCTGGTGGCTTACTCTGACTGTGGGTGGGATGGGGAAGTTGTGAACTTAACTTTTCTTGGGGGGAAATGAAACTAGTGGGGGGGAAGTTTATGTAGGGCTTATGTACCCCACGAGCACTGAGAGCAGCCTCCCAGGGAGATCCTTTGCTCTCACCCTTCCTTGCTCACAGATCAACAGGGCAGAACCTTGAAGGGATCCTTTTCACCTTTTGCCAGGCACAGTCTTCACCTTTTAAGCAGTCTTCTGTCTAGAGACCATTTACAAAATAGGCAAACAGAGTATGATTAAATCTTGCAGCACAGACAGATTAAAGTCTTTATAAGTCCTGTTCCCATACCATGTCAGAGCCTTGTAAAAGCCTAGCCTTGCCATTTGAATTATAATTTATGGATGGTTTTCTCCCTGTGATGCCACAATCACCCTAATCCAGTAGCTCTAAGAGCATTCCTGAGGTCACAGCTCTGAGTGCTGGCCTCCTCCCAGCTCCAAACTGAGGGGATGTTGGGGTTTGTGCCAGTTCCTTTCCCCTTGCTTCAATGCACTCAGGAAGCCCTACAGGTAAGAGTGTAGGGCTCTCTACTGCAGAGGATGGTACTCACTGCTCAGCTTTGCAGCAGCCCTGAAGACCTACCCAAGTGTGTGTGCTGACCCTAGTAACAAGCATTAAGACCCTTACTATAGCTTATAGGAACATGCTCTGACTTGAGTCATTTATCCAGGCTAGGCCATCTCCCACTGCATTCAGTGAAACAGGTGGGAAATTGTAGCATAAGTGGTCTGACATGGGGAGCAAGAAAATGTGTGAGGGAGAGGATGTACTATTGCCAAGTGGAAGAGCTGGGGTGGTTGCAGATAGTACTCTATTTTGTCTGTGTCTCTGTGCCATTGTTTTGAATTGTCATTCAAAGAAACATTGCTATCAAAGATCCAGATATTCAGCAGCTTGTACCACGAGCACAGGCAGCGACTCTCTCCTTGGGAGGCAAGTGTCTTTTAGGCTGCCTCCCCTGCAAAGCCAAGGTATCTAACGGAGCAATAATTTTGACCTGTTCCCCCTAGAGTAATGAACTGAGAATGGGTTTGAACCTGTTACAATTACCTGTTAAAATTTTATAGCAAAGCAACAATGTAAGAAATGAGGATCTGTTACATTTTCTCTTTCCTAAGCACTGCACCCTAAAAAGCAGATGAAAAATCCTTTCTACTAAACACGTCAACTCCTCCTATGTATTTACTACCATTCCTCCATTTTAGCCACACACAAACATTCACTGTTTTATTCAGCAGCTTCAAGGACATTTCAGAAAATCTCTCATTTACATCAGCAAGATTGTATGCTAATTTTCAGGCAGTGATACCAGTCTCTTTTCCCTCAAGAGATTTTATTATAGCTGGAAAGCCTCTGGATCTTTTGAATCTTTAATTTCAGGGTCCTCCTGAGGGCAAGGAGCACTGAGAGATTTGCATCACAGTGGGGTCACAGGGGTATCAGAGATGCAGAGCTAGAAGGCCATCAGATTAAGTAGAAGCAACTAAATGCATAAATTGGTCTGGAAAGCGTGTAGTACTTGGGGTGAGCAATGAGACTACAGGTTCACAGTTGGACTCTAAGATGTGTGACTGAATTTGCAACACTGCCTGTTAATGCAGCACTTCAGCTGAATAGAAATACAGTGAGGAAAAGCAGTTTCCATCTTGTATAAATAAGCTTAAACGGTTGTTTCCTCTTTCAGGTTATACCTAGATAACGCTTTCTAAGCACCTCGTTTTAATAGGATCTTGTCTACAGATTAGCCACCCTGAAATGCTTGTGCTCCCTCATCAGAAGAGTGTATGCTCCCAACAGCTAGCCTGCAGGCTTTTAAGGATTCCTCTTCTAGCCAGACTGACAGGCAAGACCTGCCACAACAGGCAGCTGGGCAAGCCCTGGCCACGGCAAGGAACAGCCCTTCTTACAGCAACCTGAAATGTGGAGAGAGGAACAGTGCAGGGATGAACCAAGCAATACACCAGAGGATCATACAGACCATGTGGGGTGGTATGACTACAGCACCAACTGAAGGTGTACAGCAGGATAATATAGGATATGGTAACTTTATTCCAGCTTTATAGCCTTTTCTTGTTCTGTCACCTTCTTGTGAGCCTTCCTTCCTTCACTGCATTTTTATAGCTTATGGGAAAGTTTGGAAAAATAAAAACTTTCCTTTCAGACTAATAAGCCTGGCTATCCCACTGACATAGCTCTCGCTTTTTCTCTATCTCATTGCTTTTTCTTCTGTCAGTAGGCACTCTGGTGCAATTTGAAAAATACCCTTGAGAGAACCCAGTCCTTGAGTCTGATGGCAAGGCAGCAGAGAGACTGATGGTTCTACAACAAAACTGAATGTGCTGCCTGCCAGATATTTTCCTTTGCTGTTTTTCTTTGCCTCACATCCCAGTGAATTCAGAAACCTGTTTGCCTGCTTACTTCATCAGGAAGCCCATATCACCGCCTCTGAGTGCTGCAGCACAGAGGTAAAAATGCTGCAACAACAGAAATGTTGTTTGCTTGATTGAGACATAATTTTTTTGACTCCAATCTGTAACACTGCTTGGTATATTCAATTACCTCTGTCTCCCATGAAAAGCATATTTGGGAGCACCTCCAAAACTCAAGCAAAGTCTATCAGTGATTCAAGCATATTTTTACAGTAAAAAATGTTGAATAATACTTTATACCATAGTATCTGTGTACAGGGACATAGCTTTTTCATGATTTGTAAGAACTATTAATTGAACATTTTTTGAGATGCTGCTATTGCTTGCTCAAGTATTTTGGTCCCTTGAGTTCTAGATTCTCTAGTACCTCAATTATGGAACCCTGAGAACTTCCTGACTTCCAGCTCCAGCTTCTTAGCTTCCAGTTCCAGCTGTGCCCACCTTCTCATTGGGGTGGGCTGCAGCTGCATGGCAGCCCCTCTCTCTTCTTCTCTTGAAAGCATGGGAAGTGGCAATACAGGCTGGGCTGAAGCTGTGGTGTGTTCCCATCCACTTCCCTTAACACAGGAAGCAATCACCAGCATTCATGCTCCAGGTAGTCCAGACAAAGGTGAAGCCCATGTGGCTGTTGTATGAGCATTTACTCCTTGGACAAGATGTGCAGAGGGATGAGTATGGATGTTGGAATGTAGCCAACAGAGAAAGGGCACAGGCTTTGCTTTACAAAGTCAAGGAGATATCTATATGGTCACACGTGGCTTGCTCTTTGTTGCACTCCACTGGCCTTGCTTTCCCATCCCGAATGTCATGCTCTATTGTTGTAAGATTCCCATTTGCAGGGAGCTAGTAGACATCTGCAAGATGAAACCCCAGCACAGCTGACAAGGCAGTTCATGGTATGAATTATCACTGTAAAAATCTGGCGTGGAGAAAATATTTGAACAGTACCTCACAAAATCTCCAACTTTCACATGTTCTTCTGCCCTGCTCCAAACCTTTAATGCCCAGCTGTAATTTACCCCACAAAACACCACCCAGGCCAGCTGCAACACAGCCCACTTGCTATTTTGAGCACTTTAAATTGAAACTCTATGACAAATAGCAACTATCTTGAGGTCAGCCACGTGTGTTTCACTGGGCAGGCGGCTGTGGCAGGCGCTACAGCCTGAGCCCAACTCCCTGCTGGACTGGAGGCACAGATCCTTCCCTGATGCAAGCCACTGGGCCAACCCAGGTGCAGGTTGTGCTTTCCTACTGTGTAAAAAGGGTGATGTGTGGGTGGCCTGAGAGTGAGAGCAACTGCTGGGTGACAGGTGAAGCGTCCCTTGAGGCTGAGCTCTGCTCCTCAGAGGTGACGGGGCAGTGTGAAGTGTTGAGGCAGCAGGCAAAATGCAGGAAATAAGAGCAATATCCTTGCAAGAACATTGTGCAACTGGCTGCTCTTCTGCTGAAAGATGTATTTAATTCACTCAGAGAAAAGATATCTGTAAGAGGAAATGGTGTTCCCAGAGAGACGCTGTTCTGTCCCTGGAATTATGCAAAGTGAAAAAAATACATGGCAGCAAGGTCACTCCCTGTGATTTACCATTTTCTTTGCCTAGAGACTAGAAAAGGTAATTCTATTTCACTCAAAGACAAATGATTTGAAGTCTGCTTCATAGTTCAAAACCAGGCAAAGTGGCAGAGATACTGGAAAAATCTCTCTCAGAAATCAAGCACAGCATACTCTGCAGCTGAAAGTTTATCACTGCAGTTAATGAGGTGTGACTGTTTGCTTTGCTTTAAAGCCACACCATGCTTTAGACATTTGAAAAATCCATTTTAGCTCTACGAATAGATGAAAATTAAGGTATTTTCTCCACACCCTTTTCCTATTTTAAGCAACAAGCTTGTCTCTCTCAATATATCAAATGTGGCAGGCAATGCCTAGAGGAGGAAAACGAAGCAAGGTCATCGAAGAGGTCCGGTGAGGCTGCGGCGGGCCATCAGCTCTGCCGGCGGCACAGCCCATCGTGCCGCAGCCTGCAGCACTCACATCCCTCGTGCTGCCTCGCTCTGCACGACAGCGATGGGAACGGACCGGCTGCAGGCTCTGGGAACGACAAACTACCTTGGAAAAGAAAAGTCAAATGGCCAAACTAATAAGGGAGAGGCGCTCTCCCTCCTGTCCTCTGGGATGAAAGATTAAGGACAGCCAGCAGATCGCGGGAAGGGGTGGAGCAGCACGCACCTAAGGGGATCGTTACCTGCAAGGGAGGCAGAGATAGTGTATTGCTCTTGACTGAAATACTCTTGACTGAAGAGACAGAGAGAGTATTGATACAAAGTGCTTTGCCACAGAAGAGCTATCATTTTCATTGTCCTATTGTGCTGCAGGAGTCTGGTGACCTTCACAGTATTACATTAAGTATTCAAATTCTTCCCTAGTTTCTAGGAAAGGATGAAACAATCAGATCCCTGTGTGATATGTGCAGCATAAAAATCTAGATAAAACACTGCTGTCACACTCAAATAATTTTATTCATCTGAAATTGGGTTTCCTTGAATACAGTCTCATGAAATACTCCTCTTTGAGACAAATCTGGTGGGAGAGGAGATGCTGCAGAGTGGATTAAGCAAGAGATAGCGCTCTAATCCCAGTTTTTCTCTCTCACTTGGCATCTCTGGGAAGGACAGCATCCCTGTCCTTCTGATTTCTCATTTGTAAAATGGAGATGATAACTGCTCATCTCTCAGGGCCATTATGAAGATTAATGTGTTTACAAAAGCATTTAAAATGCTAAGTACTTTTGGTTCCAGTCCTGTGAGATTGGAAATGCCAGCACTGAGGTGCTGAAAACCTTAAGCTCTTGCCAACTCTTGTGGAAACTCTGGCTGCCCAGCACTTTACAAGAATGAGGAGAAACGTGTAATTGCAAAAGTCAGAAAATTCCATCTTGCTTTATTGCATAAAATGAGATGTGCACCATGGTGGCATTGTATGGGAAAGGGCAGACAACACGAAAAAGCCATCATGTCAAGAAAATTATTGAAGGCTTTGCTGTTGTAATTTATCTAAAGACTGATTCTTGCACCTTTAGCTACTTCAGGATTTGGGGCATCAGTATAGAATACAGCATCAGCCCAGAATTTGCTGTACTTTTGTAAAGCTTTTGAACTCTGTGACAGTCAATAGACTCTTACCTAAACACACAAAAAGCACTTGTTTCACTATTACTGACACAGCCAATTTTAGCCACTTTTCTTGTGAAATGTGTCATAAAAGAAGCCAGAACTGAGATCAAAATTCAAAACCCGCAGTTTTAGCACTTATGGGGAATATCCAGCACTGATGCTTTGCCACACACTCCTTCAGCCAGCCTGCAGAATCAGTCAGAGGAACAGTTAATTGGACCTGTATGCAGTAAGGTCCCCGTGTTACTACCACCTCTTCTAGTCCACGCAGATGGGGAAGTCAGCAGCTTTTGAATCCTTCAGACTTCCTTTCACCAACTCTGTTTTTCACAGTGAGACAAATTTAAGAAATTTGAGAAAGGCACAGAAACAGGGAGATGAGTGAACAAAAGGAACTGGTGAACCAGGGATAAGGGTCTCCCTGAAAGCAGTACCTAACTCCTTGGGTAAGGGGAGGGACATATGTGCCAAGATTGAGAAGCAAAACAGGCTGGTGTGGTTTACTGAGAAGCAGAATAATTTCTCATGCAAGCAAGACCGGATGCCACCCTGCAGCAAAAGAAGTCTGTTTGTGCAAGGCAGCTGTGTGCAGAGAGATGACACATGCTGATGTGACCCAGTAAAAGTCAGCTGAAGAACATGGTCATGACTGGTAAGATTTTGTGATAAAGTTGAGATCTAATTTTACATCCAGTGCCCAAGATGTATGTATGGGGCATCTGCTGGGTTTTTTTAAATACATCAAATGGGAAGTAAATATTAAAGTTGTACACTGTGGCTCACTGACAATACTAATTAAATTCTTAAAATGTTAAATTGTCCTCATGTATTTGACAGACCCTGGAAATGATGGATCAGGAGATGGATCGATGATATTACCCACTTTTACAGCAACACATCTTCCTGCTACGAGTCCTTCGACTGTGGATGACCATGAGCCAGTACTTGCAAGCACTACTGAAAGCAGCTTTGATACACAGAGTTCTCCAAGTACTGAACTGAATGCTGTGAACTATGAGGACAGCCTAGAAGCAGCAGAACAGTCTATCTTGATATATGTTGTTCCTGTGGCACTGCTGGTCCTGCTGATTTTGTTGATCACATTTTTTGTAATGCATCATAAAAGGAAAAAATCCAAGCAAGGTAAATCTTTCTTCTTGTACATCAAAAGGCTGCTTCGAGGATGTGTTCAACATTAACAGAACATTATCTTGAGGCATGGGATGCCACATTTAAGATGCCTTTCTCTGACTGTAGTTGCATGTTTGACAAGAGAGGGATCCTCCCCAGCCAGCAGCACCTGGTCACACACCTCTCCTTGGTGTGTGGAGAACCACACACACCGCTCCTTGGAGGTGGCAAGAAGCTACTTTTGCTTCTTGGCACCTCCTGTTCATGCTGCCACACCCATGGGAGCCCTGGCACCAATCTCTGGCTCCTGGAAATGCTGAGAATGCTCAGGGATGTAACTGTGGCTGCAAAGGCTTGCTCTGTCTTTATGCTCAACTACTTTAGGCAAGGTGAAATTAATGCTTCTACTGCACATAATACCTACAAGGTAAAGCTGCTTGGAGCTTCAATAAAATAAGAACAAGAAAAATAATTTTAAGGAACAATTTTAAGGAATCCTGATTCCATAGGGTGGAGGCTGCTATGAAGACATCACAGCAAAAGGGCTAGGTCAGACAGCCTGGGTGCTGCAGTAGGGTGAGCAATGCTTCAGGAAGGTGCTGTGAGCTGTTAACAAAGGAATTGGTAACTTGGAGTGTCACGCCACAGGAGAACAAAGTGAGGTGTCGTAATAAAACCCCATAGTGGGTAAGTGAAATTCTGAGATGGTCGTATCAGTGTAACTACATGGTCAGAGTGCAGCTGTCAGCTCATCAGCCTGCAGACAGTGAAACATACATTTTAAGTCAAGTTTTCAGGGCATTTTTAGGTTGCATTTGTCTGATTACTGGGTTCCCTCTAACAAACTATGAATTTGCAACCAGGCACCCAGTTGCCTGCCTGTTTCTGGATGATTGAAATGCAGAGGTAGATTTTTTTTCAGAGGAGTGTACATGTACATTCTTCAGAGGGTTAGGAAATATGGTACTTTTCAGGAGCACAATCTTAGCATCCGATGCCCTGTGCCAGCCTGGGATTTTGAGCATTTTCAAGACTGGGGCAGATGGCTCTGTGGTTCTGGAATAGCTCTGCAGTCTGGGAATGTGCTGAAACAACTGGGAGGTATCACCTGCTGGCAAAAATGAATTAAAAATAAGGTGATTTAAGACAGGTTTTTCAGTCACTTGATTACTGGAGATGAACATATTTATTAGAATTATGTCTGTGTCACTATACCTCCTCCCCTCCCATTTTTACTTTGTCTTGGAGTCCTAAGTAGATTGGATCCCTTTTGACATCTGTCTAGTTCAGCCTCATTTGCCTAACTGAGTTCTAATCTGCCATGCAGTTCATCTCCCCCCACCCCACACTCCTGGCTGTTTTCCCCATGAGCAGCTCCCAGAGTCTCCAGACAGAACAGAATTGCCGAAGTGTAATCTGTAGCAAAATGTCCCAGTGCTTCTAGTAAACATTATTATTTTTTTTTTTGGAGAAGTGGTTCCTTTTCAGGATACCATTTCCCTCAGGACATCTGTTTTGCTGAAGGAAGTGTGCATCTGCCCTGTCCTGCCCACCGCAACACCAGCACTGGGCTTCCTCCCAGCATGGCTGTGCTAACAATGAGATGCTTTTAGCTTCAAAATAATGGGCTCCTATAAAAATTGCAAACAGGATAAGATGCTTTGTCTTTCATATGCAATTTAGTTTTTATGCCTTTTGAAAATGCAACCTGTTTTACTTGACCTTATTCAAGGCTCGCATGCAGTCTGGATTTTGTAAATATAATGGGTAAATATCATGCAGAACTATGAACACCAACTTTCTTCTTTTCCAGATGAGCTGGGAAGTGAAAATGTAAAAAGGTAAGTTTTATGACTATCATTATTTTTTAAAAAAAATTCTTTTACTCTAACCTTTGTCTCATTCACTGCCTCTTTTAATTTAGCTGTACACTAAACACCATTACTTTTTGCCATTAATTGAACCAGCAATCTCAACAGGTGGATAAAGTGTGACTTCAGTATGTGGCTGAAGTGTAAGACTAGAGCAGGAGAACAAGAGTTAGTGATGACTGAGGCAAGGGCTGCCCCACAGACACCCACAACCCACAGACCTTACTGAGCCTGCTCTTAGGCACCTCCTGCTCCATCAGCCACAAGTGGTACAAGGTGCCCCATGAGCAAAAGGGATCAGTTCCCAGGCTCATCACAGGCTTTTGCTATTCAGAATAAGCTCTGTGTCTTGCTCCCCTGTTTTTCAAGTTTATCTTCTTACTCAGAGGTGAGGCAGAAAGGCTTGCCTGGCTGCCACAGGAGCAATGCCTTAGATGCTTGAAAAACAAGACAAGAAACTGTGTGGCTCTTATCAGAGTCATAATTTTTATTGTTGCTTTTTATTGACCTCCATCTTGCTAATCAATGCTGAAAGTTGACAAATTGTGTCTATGAGGAAAAAAGGATTTTTTTTTCTAAAAACCCATTTTCTATCATATGACTGCAGGAATGATAAGCAAAAGGAAGCTAAGCAGAGGCATTTAAATAAATACAGCTCTCATGACCTTTCCTTTTGAAGTCACTGCAAATGTCAGTCACAGATATAATGAAACTTTAGGCCTTCAGCTTTTAGCACTGGAGCAATAGTATTTCTGTCATGTGTTCCAGGAGGGCAGAGACAAACCATCTTATTTTTTTTTTTTTTTTAGTTTTCTATTTACAGCAGGGACAGTTTTCAAGAAGCTGCAATGATCCTGTGCTCTGGCATGTCTCTGGCTGCACTGAGTCCCTCTGTAATGTCTCAGCTGGCCCTACCTCTGCCCAGGACTGGCATCTCAGTGCCACTCCCTTGCATCTGTTCGTGGCCCCTTGGTTCACACCCATTGGGCTGACATGTCCTCAGATTACTGGGCTAGGATGGCTTTCCAGAGTTAATATATGTTTCTGGAATTACATGAGAGTCATACAAAATCAGTACATTGTAAGTTGTTTCAATTAAGCATTTTGTGTAATGCTTTTTATCCCCCTCTCTTCTCTCAAGTCCTATTTTTGAAGAAGACACACCCTCTGTTATGGAGATAGAAATGGAAGAGCTTGATAAATGGATGAACAGCATGAACAAAAATGGTACACGGTAACCCCTCTACTCCATCCTCCCTCTCTTGCCTGCTGACATAGAGCCCATGCATAGGAAATCAATGGAAGGTGTTTTGTATGCATATCACTGCTTTCCCTACAACATTTTTAGTTGTGCTCTTGACTCCCTCCTACTAAAATAACTGAACAAATGTCAGGGGTAGATTTTTTCAGAGGAGTATTTTCGTTTGTGTAGGAGTTTATTTTTAATATGTGATAGAATCCCATAAATGTTTTCAGTTTACAGTAGACACTTCTATTAAACACACTTATAGCTGTGAATGTTATTTATATTTTTAAATACATATTTTAATGCTAAATACTAGTTTCTCTGGAGCATCTAATCCTTTCAGTCTCCAGAATTTCTACACTTTTTTGCTCCACACTGAGGTATTGTAGAAGAAATATGCATTTGCTCATCGTTCAGACCACATTTTATTTAAAATTGCTGCCAGGAACCTATGAATACGCCCTTCCTCTCCCTTGCAAGGCTATCAGCACATGGAGCAATTAGAACATGTGGTAACTACCACCAGCAGAATCTTCAGCTGCCTTCTCAGTTACTTATAAGTACCTGGCATTTTCCCCCCATTTTTCTCCCAAGTGAATTCCCCAGTCAAAATCTCTAAGGGGTGTGCATTGTCCTTCCAGGGTCTCCTCAAAAAATGCAGGTCTTCAGTAAGCCATGAGTTAATCAAGGCCTGATTTTAAGCCATGAACAGCTTTTCACTGGCTAAGAAATGCTGAAACACTGATATTATTTTCATTCCTGGTCCCTTGCCTTCATTTGCCTGACCTAATAGGCATGCTTTGTTTTTCAGGACATAAAGCTCTTGGAGCATTTCTTTGCGTTAGCACAGTGCTCCACAAGATGGGGTTTTGACCTTTGTGGTCTGAAAGCTCTTGCAGAAAACATGTGCTAAGTGGCAGTAGTGAAAGAGAGACATTAACTGTACTGCATGGGAAAATGGTGTAAAATATAGTTAAAAACTTTGTGGAGAGAAAGGAGCAAATATTTTACATATTTTCATGTGTGTGTGCGTGTGTGTGTTAGTGTTCCCTAAACTCCAGCCCCAAACTTCCAGCTGGACTATAAAGCACAGGTGCCACTGCCAGCAGTGGAAGATTAACAAACAACTCTCCTTGTGGCAGTGTGCAGGAGGCAGTGCTCAGGAGTAGCTCATTTGTGTTGGTGTACATAAAGAACTGGAACATATAAAATAAATAAATTGTGGCAACACCTATCAAAGGGAAGGAGGTGTAAGATTCATGCTAGGGGAACCATGCAGATAAAAGGGTGCAGAAGTGCATCTGCAGATCTGTATTCTAGAGTGACTGCATGATAAAAGTTTATGCATTTTTGAAATAAATGTAGAACAACTGCCAGAGTAGAGTAACTATATTCTTGTTTCTTATCCTTTTTCAGGTGACTGTGAATGTTTACCTACTGTAAGAGAAGAAGAAAAAGAATCAATTGCCAACCCAAGGTACTTTAATTCATTCTATTATTTGAAGAAATACAGTCAGTGTTATTCTAATTTTTTTTTTAATGTAAGTATATAATTATTCTTTGGTCCATTTAAGTTTTTAAATTTTTATCTACAGAAACTTTGACTTCAACTTAAACTAGAGGCTTGACACTCTTATTTCTAAACAGGTCTCTTCCTGTAAACTGCACTGCTAAATAATCTTACGGTTCTAAAATGGTGCAAGACAGACAACCAGATGGCACAGATGGAGTTTCATTCACTGATCAGGCTTTAATCACAGTTTCCCAAGGTGTTAATACAAGCATTCAGCATAGCTTCCTTGGCACCCTTCACCTAAAGCACCCAGTTCCCCTCTGCCACCTGGTGCCTATAGGTTTTTGGGAATCACTGCCAGATGTTTTGGAGCTGTGACCTGACAGACAGGGACTTGTCTGACTCCAAGAAAAAAATGAGAATGAGAAACATGAAGGATCTTCCCGGTGCCCCCTTGCAGCACTCCCCCAGAGCTGGCACTAGTTGATAGTCCAAGCCGAGATCCCAGTGGGATGCAAAACCACAATCCTGACAGCTTGTAAACTTAAAATCTTTCTGGTTGGTTTCCTCAGGATTTTGCCCAGAACTCCAAAACCCCTCTCAATTTTCCCTAATTAAAAATTCTGGTGCTTGTTTCCAGCTGGAAACAAGAGGCTGTACACTGCCCTTGCTTGCACCCTTGTGTTGCAGCTGCATTTTGAGGAGTGGGCAAAGCAGCTTCTCTGTGCCAGGCTATGATAACAAACAAGCCATCCTGTGTGCCAAGAAATCCCTGGTGCAGTGGAAGCAGTGATGCAATCAGGCAATGCCAGGAGCAGAGGGAGGACCTAGGTCTTTGCTTCCCATGGCATCGGATAATTCCACTGGCCATGCCTCTCTGGCAGAATTGCACCTCCCGCTGTAGACTGTCATAATATTCCAATCCTCATTTCTGAATTTCCTTGCCTAGGAGTGAAATAGGGATGTTAAATCACCACTGCTGCAGAGTTTGCAGCTCAGGTGTTCCAAAGCTGCAGTTTCAGAGGAACCTTTGGATGGGGCTTGTTCACTACAGCCACTTGTATAGAAAAGGTTTCTTTTTACACCTATTGCAAGTGAAATCAATGTTGTTGTTTTCGTTCAGTTTTGTTGGAAAAAAAAAGGCTTAGATCCTAGATTCCAGATGCAAGCAAGCACATTAATTTTACCCTTAGCAACTGGAAAATATCCTGGATTTGTTACTCATCTGAGTCTTCCCTTCCTGCTGCTGAATGATAACTCAGAGGGGGGAAAATTGTTAAGGAGAGGCAGCTGCACAGCAGTTCTCTAAAAGCAGATTTTCTGAGCATACCGCTGGCTGTAGCAGGGAGTACAGCACAAAGGATGCTTCAGCCATCGGCTACCACTGGCAGAAGTCCTATTGTAAAGGCTTTTTAGGCACAACACCACCCTTAGCATCAAGTTTACTTTCCAAATCTTTAATAATTAATGTTAAGGGGAAAAAATCATCATGGCCAACCTAATCATCAGCTTGAGCTGACATTTCACCATCCTTGCTAAAGGAGTGGTTTTGTACTGGATTTGCATTAACCTCATCAGAACAAGGGGATTTTTGCTCCTGGCTATCAAAAGGCATCTTTAGGCTACACCCTACCTCGAGCTCCCCACCTGTAAAACAGAGTTATTTTAGAACACTACAGTGAGGCTTAAGCCTTGATACAAAAAAGCAACCCTGTTCAGATAAGTATGCTTCAGTCAGAGAAAAGGTTATTAAACAATCATTTAAGCAATTTTTCTTGCGAATGGATCTTAGAATCAGACTAGATTAGAGAAATTTATGCTTCTAAATTATAGAAAGGCAAAAAATGCAAATAAAAATAGGAGATTTATCTCTAAAACATTCAGAGCTACTCAGACAAGGGGCATTAGTTGAATACAAAGTGCAAGAACATTAAATTCAATTTAAGATTCTGAAAGACTACTTTGTTTGGGCAAAATTCTTCTAAAATTAGGGTAATTTATATTTTAGATTTTATTGATCTTTCAGTAGGGGAAACATCTCAGGCCACACTGAACACAGATGGCTTTTTTTTGCTTCACAAAGATGCTGATGGGGAGCTCAAGACCCAAATGTCTTGAACTATGAATGATTTTGATACAATTTTGAAAACATATGAGACAAAACATTTCAATAATGACACTTTGACATTTTCAGAATGATGGTTGTTCCAAAACTAGTCTTCAGAGTAAGTGAATTTTAATAAAAATTTTTTTTAATGCTTGATTAGCAGAACTGTGTGGCAGTAGAATATTTCTATGCTGAATGTTTCCCTTACCCCAAGGCTACTTCTTCGAATTTCATTTCACATGAAATTTTGAAATTGCTTCATTTCAAATTGAAAAAAATATTTGAAGTGGTGGGATTTCTGGGTAAACAAACAAAAAATTACTTCCTGTTTATTTGCAATTGAACCTTAACAGTCCAAGATCTGCTGCTTTTCGCAACCAAATTCTTAAATTAATAAATAATGTCAGAAAGAGAATTACATACAGATAAATAGATGTTTTCAGCAGCTCTTCTGAGGCAAAAATTGTACTCAGGAGCATCAAAGCTGCACATTTGTGCATAGGAGGCAAGATACAACAGCCTGGGCTCCCTGATAGGGGGAGGTCACTCACCCTGGCCTTGTAAGCTAAGTTACAAACATATGTATATACACATATTCAAAATTTATATACACTTTTCAAAATATATATAGTTGAATCAAAACCTCTTGCATTTGAAACCTACTGCTAGAATCCTGAGCACAGAATTGCACCCCACAGGTGCCTGGGGCCAGGGCTCCCATCCTATGCATGCTGGAGGGAGCAGGCAGTGTGTGCAGGGGCAGCAGGCAAGGGCTGATGATCTGTGGGGCACAAGGTGGGCAGAGACCAATCTCTGATCCAGGGACCTTTACTATTCCAGAAAAATAAGTGCAGACTGTCCCCTTCACAGCATGGGTCATTGTAGGGGGTGGAGTACAAGCAATGCCCCTATGCTTTATCACCTGAGAGGTTTGGTTTGTTTTGGGTGCTGCTCGGCACCCTCCTAGACTTTCTGTCTGAAAAAGTATGACTTCTTCTGACTCTAAAAAGTGTGTAGAAATGTTTTGGGTGGATGATAGGCCAGTACAGAAAGAAGTACTGCATTCCCAGAATGTGCCTCAATTTGGCAAGAGACTTAAGGAAACATGTAAAATATTAAGATTATGAGTGGCCCTTTTAGCTTCAGAGCTTGTTATACCTGCTGACTGAATTCAAATCAGCCAATATAAGATGTCACATTTTTTAACACTGGCATGAGCCAAACATTATTAAGAGAGTACTAGGGAGTAAGGCGCTTGGGCAGAAACCAGTGGGACAAAGAGAAAATGCACTTGTTATGAGGTCAGCTGTAAACAAAAAATTCCAAAGTTATCCTCAGCTGTGGAAAGAGAGCCAGGAGTAGGAGAAAGACTGTGCTGGGCAGCCATGAACCATCAGACAGGTATCAGAGCAGCCCTTGCTGCCAGCATCAGCATCCATTACATGAGTGACAGATTTATTTTCTAGTAACACCTTTTCATGAACTCTAGAGATGTTCTTGCATGATATTTCCTGCTGAGACAACTAACCTAACAGCATGGCACTGGTGTTTTTTTCTTTTCCATGTGTATACACAGTGATGGTGAATCATGAAGTCCTCACGACACCAAAGAACTGGCTAAAGGGATGCAGCACATAAGCTCATCATCCCCCAGATATTGGAAGAACTGGATTTAAATAATAATAATTCATCTCAAAAGGCCAGAGAAGCAAATGTTTTTGTTGTATCCTGCTTTATATGGTCTTCAGAAAGGAAACATCACCAAGGGAAAAAAAGAAAAGGAAAAGAAGAAAAAAAGGAAAAAAAGAAAAGCACTGTAGGACTGATTTAATTAAGGACTGATTTAAATTATTTTTGCAATGAGATTCACCACAAATCAAGAGAAACCTCTTCTTTACCCCTGCTGAAAGGTCTCAAAGTAGTCCATATTTCTGTCTAGTTCCACAGCTGTGCATTGTGCAGCACTTAAAACCAATTCTCTTGCAGATTTGGTGGGTCTCTTTGTTTTGGACTGGTTTTGTGGGTGTTTGTTTCAGTGTCCATAATTCTGGACACTGGTTTGGTGGATGTGAAGCTCATGTCTATGCAATGTTTATTTCTCAATTTGCTTTTTCTGAGCAGTGCACTGATTTGCACAGGACTGCTGTTGGGGAGGTACCAGGCTAGGACTCACAGACCAGCTCAGAGGACAGACAGCAGCTGAAAAGCCTCTCAAAAGAATAGGCAGAAGTGACTGCAGCCCAGCCAGGGAACAGACTCTGTAGAGTGCTTTTTGGTTTTCAGATTAAAGGCACTGTAGAAGTGAAAAATATTATTTTGAGACTGCCTTTCAGTTTGTTATCTCCACAGATGAGCGCCCTGGGCTAGCTCTCCCTGCATAACTCTACTCCCTGCCCAGGGCTGTTGTCTAACCACCTACTTCAGAAATATTCAAATTAAAAAACATTTATTTTTTTAAAAAAATGAGTGAGGTTGAAAAATTGAACAATTCAGTATTCACATAAAATACAGATTTAGGTAAGTATGTGTTATGCATAACTACTTGGTCAAGGTTTTCAGACACAGGAGGCTTTCTGCTGCTTCTGTTTTTAAATGCTGAGCCTGCAAAATCTGAAAGACAAGGACTTCTGAGTGTGCCTGATCACTTTTAGTCACAATGAAAAAAAATCAGACTCCTGGGATACCTCAAGGTAGGAATTTGAATGTTGTAACTGTGTCCATTGATTTTAGATAACATGTATCTTAGGGATAAAGCTTAAATATGTAACACACATAAAAGTGGATCCTTGTTTGGGCAAAGTTTCTCTTGCCATATTTAAAATAGCAGATTCATATCCACCATATCTTATATCCTCCCTATCCTCATATTCTATTTAAATATATAATGCCTTCCCACTCAATACATGTTTAATATGATCAGAGTTTTTGCCTGCAAATAATTCACTAAGAAGTTACCATGCATAGCTTGATTAAAGATGGAAAACAAATACCCAAATACCCCAAGAATAGGAGTCCTTGCTGTTCTTTTTTTTTTTTTTTTTTTTTCCTTGCTTTTGGAAATGAACCAACTCCCAAAGGTGACATTGTACGGTTTAACTCAGTCCTGGCACACCGGTGACCCATCTCCCTGTCTGAGCCACACATTGATAGTAGTGCAATGCACCAACTCAGTTTGCTGTGGCATTTGAAAAGAGTCTGTGCTGTGCATGTTGATGGTTTGGCGTTAATGTTGATTCTAGATGGTCCTTCTGCCAGATAAAAGACTGTACAGTTCCAAATAAGTTTCTCAGAGATAAAATTTCACTTATATATTTTATTTTTCAAGTTTACCTTGAGAGAATGTATTTTCTGTAAAGTTATGACATTAAGCACTAATTCTTATTCCAGTGTTCATGATTGACCAATCTCTATATAAAGCTTTAAAATCAATTTTGTCCAGAACTAATGTCTATGTTCAAGGTTTATAATTATTCATGTCACTTAGCCTCTCTAAATCCTGGTATGCTAGAGAATTTATTTGCCTCTTCAGGAACTTTTTTCATCATTTAAAAATACCAAACAATGCTTCGGGCACTTTCTTGGCTAATTCTGACAGAAATTTTCTCTATCTGCTGATTTTTAAAAGTGGAAACTTAATATAAGCTGTGTTACTATTGAAAAATGTACCACTCCATCAAATCTCACCTGTCATTAGGTCCTGAGCTCGTGTGAAACAGACCGAGGGTAAAGCACTTCAGTATAGCTATGGATATTTCTAATAGATTCCCTCAGTACTAGACAAATACAATTTTTAGTATTTCTCTTTTTCCTGAACATTCATACATCACTGTTATCCTCCTCCTAGCCCTAAACTATGGAGGGGATCCCTCATGTATCTGATTCCCCAGCCCAGCTCCGCACTGCTCCGTTCCACCCCACTGGTCTCTCTCTCTGATCACAACTTTCACGCTGGGGGCTGGATTTGCCACAGCCGCTGCCCAACACCTGCTCACTTGCTTACAGCCAAGCCTTTCTGTGGATGCTGGGTTCAGGGGTTCAGCTGCACCATGGGCTCTGCTTTGGCCCCTCTCCTCCCTCACCCCATTTTGTATTTCCCTCTTTTGCTCGCCCGTGTGCCCCTTGCTCTCCTGTTTGTTTTACACTTTTCGTCAGCTCCTACTCATTTCCTTATGCACAGTTTTGCCTCAGTACTTTAATTTTGTGGGTGGATTGAAGTACAGGGGATTCAGACCATAGACCATTCCATGCCTACATTAATACGGCCAAAGCATTATAATATTCCAGTTCATGAGTATTAACTGTACACCTTCTGTGAAGGCACCTTCATTTTCCCTAAAAAATGTTTTTCACACAGTCAGTTCCTCTAACCCACAAAATAAAAAGGAGAGCCACCAGACAGCAGATAAGATAGCATCAAATTCTCAAAATTATTTTATCACCGTGCACTACAGAGTATTTAAGCCTCTGTGGTAACAGCCATCGATAGCCTGATCTGAGCCAACCCATCTCACCATCACCTTGCAACATCTCCCAGTAACTGATAAGTTATCATCCCTCCATAGAAAATGAGAAAAAGCACAGAAACAGGAAGTGCCTCCCACTAAGTATTGTTCTAAAATGTTTCACAAATGTGATGATCCCTAAGGAACTGCTACCTCTTCTTCCATTTTCTTCAATAATTTCAGCAGTTATCCAGCACTTCAAGACAATTTGACATCTTATTTACGGCATGAGGCCTTTATGTCCTGCAGAAAAACTACAGACACAAAGGAGGATTTGTCTGAGAAATACACAGGTAATAAGAAGGGTAATTAAAAAACAACACCTCTCCTAGATATGCTAAAAATCAGTATCTTAACAAAATAGAAATAGCTCCTCCATAGACTTACAAACAAAAGGTTGCTGATATTACTAGCAGCTAATTAATTCCATGAGTCCTGCACTTGTGAAGCACATAACCCTAACATTAACCTCAGCAAAAAGGAATCTTCTTTTAGTTTCTAGATAATCATAAGTTATAGATTCATAGATAGCTCTTGGTCTGAGATTAAAAAAATAATTTTTTTTGTATTGCTAAACTCATTGGGGACCCTAAACTGAACTTTTGTCACCTTTCTGATGTGAAACTGCTGTATATTCAACTGTTTTATCAAAGAGCTGTTTCAAATTATTTTGTAATATAAATATTTGAAAGACACAATATTACTTAATTGTATGTAAGAGTTTGAGATTTTAAATAGCTTGTTATAATAAAGATTTTAGTGTCTACAGGTTCAGTTTTTTCCATAGTCCTGCTAATCCACTGAAGTCTATGGATGCTAATTACTTGTTATTGATAGCACAATTATTCAGGCCTGAGAAGATGTGCACAGCTGGTACATATATATTTTATATATCTTAGATATATATGCCATATAGATATCTTACTCTTGTCAGCTCTCTAAAATTCAGGCAAAGCAAAAAAAAAAAAAAAAAAAAAAAAGAGAGAGCTGCTTTATATTTCATTATATTTTTGTTGGGATATTTCAGATTGTTTATATCAATAGATCAATTCTGACTCCAGAGAAAGTAATGAATTACTCCCATGATTTATTCTTGGGTGACTGTTGCCATCTTTTTTAATGATCAATCATTTCTCAGATTATTTCAGTTAAAACACAGAAATGGGAGTCTCCAAGTTGATAGACCTGCTAAAGTAATTTTCAGTGGATTTAAGGGAAAAGGAAGAAAAAAGATTAAAAATAGACATGTATTTCCAACTATAAAATTAGAAAATATTAATATAGTAAAGCATTACTTTCATCTATTTTTTGCAACAGACAATTTCAATAGAGAGGTGTATAATGGCCTGGGAGTATCCAGAAAGCTTGAGACAGTGTTTATTCTATTTAATGCTCTTAATGTTCAAACAACCTCAGTACGAGAGCATCATAGCAATGACAAGGCAGAAACCAGTCACCTCTTTCTCTCTCTATTTCCTAGACAGCACATCAGCAAGACACTTGTCTAAGGTACAGACTTAGAAATCTGCATTTTGGGGCTATGCTTGTTTAGTTCTTAAGGGAGGTGCAAAAGAGGACTTGACTACGAAGTCGCAGAAAGTGCTGTGACACCTTAGGGAGTAAGACACTTACTCTCCTGCCCCAGACACTTGCTCTTGCCCCAGTCTGTCCCTCCTAGTACCATGGTGCTGACCCACAGCCCAGGGACTCCTCAAGTGTGCACTAAAAGGAGGCTGGAAGGGGTCGTGGGAGACCTGGCTTGGCAGGGGATTTGAGGGGTGAGCAAAGGACACATTCTGCACCAACATTATCAGCAACAAACATGGTAATACATCCCAAGCACTTACTCTGTTTTGGCTTTAAGAATGGCTAAAGTTGTACTTTCTGTGAGTATCAGTGACAAGAAAACAGTAACAGCATGGTCTGACACCACAGCACCGGCTGCAGACTCCCATTCCCTTCCAGTGGGGTTGCTCCAGGTCTGGCTTTGTACTGGATCAGTCCTCTGGCCTCATTTTGAGTAGGATCTCACAAGTCCAGTAAACTATTACAAACAGGTGAATTATGCACCAAAGCAGCGTCTTTCCAGACAGTGGCTGAAATGTCGCCCAGCTCTCAGAAATGGAGCTATTTTGGACGCCCAGCTCCCATTAAAGGAGCATTTTTGGTTTGCTGGGGTCTCTCCCAGCCGTATCTCGGCTCAGGGCACCCACTTTGCTCAGCCTAGATGCACCCATCTCCGGCCCGAAACGCTACCGTGACTGCCACCCCCAGGAGGCAGTCCTGATCTGCAGCTGCAGAAATGCATCTCCTGCACAGAGCCCTGACTCCTGTTATGGAGAGAAGAGCCGGGGCTGCGGCAGCCCGCCCTGGCGGCGGTGCCTGCAGCACGGGGACAGGAGAGGGGGTGTTCTTTCCCCACTGGATCACCCGCTTTGCCCCCAAGGGTTTGGCCCGGGGTCGGACCAACCGAGAGAAGCAAAGGGGCACCCAATACCCAACCAACACCTTGTGGGGAGCAGCGCTGCCCTTCTCTCCGGGCTCGCTGCCGCTGGGGGCTGCTGGAAGGGCGGTCGCCCGCGGGATGCGGCTGCTCAGCCCACAGCCACAGGAAAACCTCCCACGAGGGCGGGCACCCACTCACCAGATGTACATGGGAACCTGTGGTTTTGACTCCCACAGAGCACGAGAGCTCGGTAATATTCAGCCCGACTAGTCATGCAGACCAGCCCAAACTATACAAGAATATTCTTGGTAAAGCATTGAAAATAATACATGCAATTTGTATTTTGACCATTTTCCTCAAGCAGGACTTCTTCCAGTAGACTGCAAGGCTGGGCCTGATTCTTTAACTACAGCATTTACTTTCCAAATATATTAACTTAAATAATCCCTTATAAATTTTTGTAGCAAAAACTGCAGGGGCTGTTATAGGAAGAACAAAAAGATACAAACATTTTACTGCCTGGAATAAATACAAGCCTTTTCTTTGGGGAAAATAAATATTTCTTATCCACTAGGCAGCATGGTGTTCATATAGGAAGCTAAAGCAGAAGCAATCACAGAGCAACTTCCATGAGCAGGTTTATTAAAGAAATCTTGTTTCTTTCAGTCACTACGCAGACCTATAAAAGTGGTCTGTCTTTATTCAGAGGGAAAATAGGACTCATGGAATACTAAAGGAAACCCTTCTGAAGGTGGCTCATCCAGAGTTTGGATGACAATGCTACAGGGGTACAATAGCATTTACAATTGCTACAGGGGTACAATAGCAATGGTGTAGGTGCAATGACCTTCCCTGCCTGGGGAGCTGTGACTGCTAGAGTATGCAGATAAAAGGGCTAATGAAGGAGAAATAATTAAGTAGATGTATAAGGAGTTTATAACCCTAGAGGAAAAACAAGGATTTGTACAGCCATGCATTAGGCGTATTCACAGACGATATTTATTTTTAGAAAACACATGAACAATGAAAGGCCTCTTTGCTGAAATTAAAATACTAAGGTTAACTGTACTGCTAACACTTAATTTAACCATAGATAATTTTTTCCAGTTTTTGGCTTTGTGAATAGTTCTGTAGGACAACTTGAAAATATAAGAGCAGAACTTGTCCACTCATAAAAGACCATAGTCTAAAAAGGCCAGATCCTTGTGTTACCTCACTTGAGCCAAATCACTGAACTGAAAGCACAAACCAGAAGGAGGCATGAATCGAAGTATTATCCTTGTGCATTCCAGGAGCACAGGAAGAGCTGAGGTCTGGGGGAGGACTCAAAGGTCCAGGCAGGCAGCACAATAACTAGCTCCTCTCTTCCTCTCTGTTTTATTTGTTTATGCACAGAATGCATCTATTCTGTGAACACAAGATTAGTCACAGGATCCTCAAGTTATTACTATTTATGGATATACATGTTAGCATAAAATACTACCAGCCCCAAACTCCTCCCTCAATTTTTGATGAGGAGTTATTTATCTATTAATAATTAGGTTTAATGCTCCCATATACTAGACTTCAGTACTTGTTTACACTGCTTCATGCCAAAGCTTCAAATGTATTATAGGGGAAGTTCATTATTTTTGATTTATAATTATCTATGACAAGACAGATCTTAGACAAGAGCAGAAGAGAGCGGGAAATTATCTACTCATCCTCTGTTTATGCAACTACTACAAAGAGGCATGTGATGGCTTTGGCCTCAATCCAGCTACCATTCATCTCTATACAACTCTTTCTATGACTATCATACAAGAATCATGGAGCCCTTTTTTATCTCCTATTAACTCAGGTGTAGACAAGCCATTGCTTTCAGTCTACATATATCCCAAGATGGTGCCTCATAGCCAATGAGCTACCAAGTGACAGAACAAAACTTCTTGTTGATATATGGCATTATTGTTCTCCGGAAAATAAATATTCCTGTAGCTTTGGTGATTAATTTTCCTCCCATACCCATGTCATTAACTAGCAGCTGGGAAAGTCAACTAATCAACTACACTACTGCAGCTCTGGGAAACTTAAGCCAAAAAAAAAAAAAAAAAAAAAAAAAAAAAAAACCAAAAACCCCAGACCAAAAAAAACCCAAACAAAAATAACCAAATGAACTAAAACTTGTTTAAAACCAGTGACACTTGACAATTCAGTCATGCCAGCTCCAGAGCCAATTTGTTCCCTGATGCAACCCCCATGCCCCATGCAGGGTTGTACCAGCAGCAGCCAACTTGCCCCCTCCCCTTACCCAGGCAGGCTGGTCCAAGGGCTCACCAGTTCAGGGGCTCTGGCAAGTGCTTCCACACCCCAGTCAGTCCCAGACTGCCTCAAGCTCCAACCCTGCAGCACTGTGGCAAATATGACTTGACAAGCAAGCCTAGGCACAGTCCCTGCCTGGCTCACTGCATCCCTTCTCTGCCTGCCCCCATTCATTAAACCTCACAAAAGCATGGAGCAGTGAGGAGTTTGTCCCCACAGAAGACACACTGCTCTGACATCTCCAGTTTTATTATTGGGTGTCGGAATCTGTGGGTATTGATGATTCCGAGATTGTAGAAAGTCTCTGTCTTTCTGCCCCGTTGCCAAAGAAGAAGCCATAATTAATCTGTGCTGGTTTTCAAGGTTGTTTATTTTTGCTTATCTATAACATGTTCTGCTGCCCTGCCGCAGGTCTGTCCTGCAGGGCAGTGTATGGGGCTCTGCCCCTCAGTGGGATGTTACAAACATTATATACCAGAAACTATGTGTGCTATATTTACAGTAATGTGCCAATATCTATCATCTACGTTGAACAGTGTGTCCCCAGCCTAAACCAATAGAAAAATGCCAACACTACAGTGAAACATGGAGGGCATGAAGAAGGAGGAAAAGGACAAGACACACCCAATTCCTCCATCTTGTCCCCTCTGAACCTCTAATCTAGAAACCTAAAATTTTACTTTTGCAACCGTGCCACACTTAATTATTACTCATATCAAACACGTAGAGCTTGTAATTCATCCTGTAAGATTGAAAACACTTTTCCATGGACAGAGATCACAGACAGTGTCTCTCGGGGCTCTGTACAGGGGGGTTCCCGACCCCCTGCCAGGGTCCCAGGCCCTCCAGGGCAGCTAGAGGGATTCCCACAATTGGGGTCTTTCCCACATTACACTGGAGAGATGATTCAAAGTAGTTTGTAATTTTATAGTCTTCAGCTCTTTGCCCCACCCAGTGTCTATGTGGTTTCTCCTCCTCTCAGTCTATTAAAAATGCCACGTACAGAAGCCTAACAATTT